TATCAAACCTTAAATCATTTCAGTCCGTTAGGCAAAATTCAAATCTCATCCCAATAATTGTTATGTCTAAAGACACCCATATTATTACACAAAGCATCATCTTACTAATTTAGCATACTCAATTAATTGTTAAATCAATCCAAGTCACTATAAAACCTCTTCCATTTTCAATCATTCCATTACAAAATAGTTTTCATACAAATAAACCTATTATTCCCAAAAATTACATTCTTAATCTATTTAACATATATATTCTGGTAATCACAAATTTTACTCTCGCTTCTAACTCTAAATCTTAAACCTTAAATCAATCCATATTTCTACAGTGCCTTTTAATCCATTACATATAGTTTTAAATTTCTCTTTTCAGTCTTATTCTGGCTTTTTTTTTTGTGCCAGGCCAGTTTCCATAACAAGGCTTCCATCTCAGCAAGTAGATCTTCCTTTGACTTTTGTAATATCATTTGAGTCGATAGAAAACACCCCGTCCTCTGTATTGGGCATCTGGCTCTTTTGTCATTAAACCCTCGGTGCTTCAAAAGTTCCAGTCTCAATCTTTGGTTCTTCTGATCCTCGAGAATATAGATGGAATGCTTGTAAGGTAAAATAGATTCCTCTTTAATCTCAATTAGTTCTTCTTCTAGTATGTTTTGATTTATAGCATAGTCAGATGAGGTCTGGAGATCAGTTTGAAGGTCTGTAAAATATCTTGAGAGATGACTCTCTAGCAAATTACTGAGCCCTAATAGTATCTGTGCAAAAGTTCTTAAAAGTACCCAAATAGGAAATTGCTGATCTCCTAACTATATATGTATGCATGTACGTACATATATTTGTGTGTGTGTTAAATTTGGATTGCTAACAAAGAGTTAAAGGGATTTCTTCTTCCCATGTGAATCCCAGGCACATTCATATCAAAAGTATAAAAACTTTGAATTCCGGGATAGATATAAAAACAGCTGTTTATTGTTAAAAACAACAGTTTGTTGTACTGAAATTTGTGACTCAGTCTTAGGGAGAGGTTAACAAGCCTAAAGTTTTTTTCAACAAGAGTAGAGCCAGTAGCCAGAAAGGTGGTGGTGGGGGACTACCCATATAGAGAACCAAACCATACTGAAAAAAACCAGCATGGATTCCACAGAAGTAAATCTTCCTCAATATTCGTAGAGAATCACAGATAAGACTTTGTAGGAACTATGTAGAAATGGTTACCAACACAAATTCATGTTTTAAGCCCTAAAAACAAAGAATATGATAAGAGGTTCAGACTGGCTTCACCCAAATTCACTAAGGTGTAAGAGAGAAAGAGAATAGAAAACATACCCAGACCTTTCAAGATTCTGTTACTGCAGCCTGTGCTAATAACTTATAATTCTTGATCTGATCTATCTTAAAGGGCTAGTAGCAGCCTTCTAGAAGTTTTTGAGAAGATCAGCCAGCATATGGGATGCAAATAATGCCAGCATTATTGAAGGGTGTTGTTTTTTTTTGACAAGTACAGTATATAAAGTTTATTGAAAGTTTATTGAAAGTTGAAGTAAAGACAAGGATAGAAAAAGCTCGAACAGCATTCTTCAAAATGAAAAAGGTCTTCTGCAGTCACAATATAAGCCTAAGATTGAAAAATCAGGCTTGTCAGATGCTATATTTTTTCTATCCTGCTCTATGGAGTAGAGCAGGGGTGTCAAACTCAATTTCATTGAGGGCCGCATCAGCATTGCAGTTGCCCTTGGGGGACCGGGTGGGTGTGGCCAGGGTGGGTGCAGCCTGCTGGGTGGGTGTGGATGGAGTGTGTATGGCTTACTGGGTGGGCATGGCCAGCTCTACATTGTTCGTGTCAATGATGCCTGTGGGGACCTGGGCAGGAGTGGGACAGATCTGAGGGTCTCTGGCAGAAGGGGGTGGGACCAGGGCAAGTGCCAAGACATGGTTCACTGGAGGAGCCTCACTGTTCCTCTCAGGCCATGCAAGGGGGGCTGGATGGTAGTGCGGGCTGCCCGGAGCCCTGGAGAGCAGAGGTCAAATGCCCAGCCTGGCCTTCGAGCACCCATGGCACCAAGCCCAGTCCCACTTCCCCAAGGGGCCACCCAGCTGCACTTATCTCCTCCTCAAGGCTGCTGCTGCTGTGCTTGCTCTCCTTAGCCAGGTTATTCATGATGGGTACCAGGGCAAAGTCAGAGGGAGACTGAATGTGTTTCAGCATAGATGGCCACCACAAAATTGTACATTGGCTCCCGGCCGGCCGGCCAGGGCCAAGGGAGTGGGGGCCGTTCCCTCACTGTTTCCAGGATGGCTTCGCGGGCCACATGAAACCACTTTGCGGGCCGCATCCGGCCCCCGGGCCTTGTGTTTGACATGTCTAGAGTAGAGAGTTGGTCTCTGACAGAAGGCCACCTGAAGAGACTAGAAGCATTTGAAATGTATAAGCTGGGTTGACAAGATCAGAAATGAGGTGATAAGCTGCCTGGGAAAGCCAAGGGAAATCATCAAAACAATTAAAAAATAAAAATTAGAATATTTCGGATATGTGATGCGACACCCAGAAAAATACGGCATACTCCATTTAATCCTCCAGGGAAAGATTGAAGGCAAACGAGGTCCAGGCAGAAGAAGAACATTGTGGCTTCAAAATCTAAGGGACTGGTTTGGACAAAACTCAGCAGCACTTTTTCGTGCGGCTGCTGATAAAAATAGGATTGCCAACATGATCGCCAAAGTCCGATAACGGATATGGCACAAGAAGAAGAAGAAGAAGAAGAAGAAAGTTTATTATCAAAAGTTCTTGATGAACTTGCTGATCAGGAGATCATAAAGATCTGTTTTTTATGAAGTGTTGAATGATTGAAAAAGGGAAAATGAAGAGTAGGAATAAATGGACAATTTTCTCAGTGGAAGGCAGAAATGAATTGCTATAAGGATTTTTGTTAGACCGAAGACATATTAACATGTGAATAAATGCAAATGATGAAGTAGTAATTAGCAGTGAGCTGTCCCAAATTGGAGATAATAATAATTAATTGTGAACAATTCCTAAATGATTTTTTTAAAACTGGTGAATTATCAACTAAATGGCAAATAAAATTCAGTTTAAGAATAAAGTGATGACGGTGATATTTTCTCTTTGAGAAAAGATTACAACATTTTGAAAGCTTTAGCTTGGTATAAAAGGCAATAAAAAGAGGCATAAATGTAGGATATTGCATACAGCATGATAAAAATGGCAAGGAGTTATTTTCTTAAAATATGTGAGAACTAGACTGAAAAGAAATTGAAGAAAAAATAAGCACTTTTTCACACAGTGCATATTTTATTTGTTCTAAGTCATGGTGTTCGTCAAGAGCTTGGATGATATAAAAAGAGATTGGATAAATTCCTGCAGTAGTTATATCAGGAGATTTTGATCATGAATACCAAATGTTAGTAGCAGGTTGGATTCAGTGTGCAACCAGATACTATGGAACAATGGTAAGAAGTTCTTTAAAAATAGTACACGAGGAAAGAAACATAACTAAGGGTTGGGTTAAAAAGTGACTTCCTAAACATGATTTCACTAAACTATTTTTATTTTCACATACACACAGTAGTAGAAAGATTATTTATTTCTGGATATTAGTTTCAAGTTTTTTACACATTTGTATTATCACTATTTTGGAATTTTTCAGCTCTCACTGGAATAATAGTACTGGGTACTGTAGTTGTCCAGATAATTATTAAGCTATATTATGCAGCTTCTTTTTTTTAAGCTAATAAGTATAAGGTGGGTGGCAGAAATGGTTGAAAATAGTCTACAATAGTCTAGAATTACATATTAAAACTTCAGTAAAAGATATCACAAAGTTAGAAATGTGTTTTTCTATTATTATGCATTGTCATCAGTTGCTTAAAATATTTCACAATTAAGCAAAGTACCATGAAAGCATGTACTGGGTTGTATGGATTGCTGGCTTTCCAAGCATAATATCCCTGGACAATTAATGTATCTGAGTTTCCTATTTCTGATTGTTGAACCAGATACATATGTGATCCAGGATTATAATGTGCATGTTATATAGATGAAATTCAGTCCATTTCCATGAATTTTCATCTACTAATTTTAATGGTAGCTGATGACACTATTTCTGTCTTTCTGACCGTCACAGCTATACTCCCAAACACTCGATATGTACGTGTGCTTTATTTAATATTAAATAAAATTTAGTAAATAATTAATGGGCAGGGTTATTGGCATGGATAGATAAGGCATACTTGGACAAGAAAGGGAGTGGATTAATTTGCTTTGATATGTTAGTAATATGCAAGAAATTCAGTTAAGGAAATGACTGAAACTTTGCTTCAATTATTGTTCTCTATTCAAATTACACTGAATATGCCTCAATTCTTTTTTCTTCTTCTATGGTACAGATTTGTGGATGCCCAAAAAGTACTTCAATTTATACCATTGACATTTGGTCGCCAGTTGCTGATTTTCAGTAATATAAGGTTTTAAAAAGTGAAATAAGCCTCCAGACAGTTGTGTTAAGCAGCTTGAGGAATTAATATATTTATTTTGAGTTAACATAGTCCTTCAAATTTCCTAAAACAAAAAAGAGTGAAATATGTCTCATTTGCTTTTGTAATGTTATTGCAATGCACATGGTAGCCCTTGTAAGCCAAAAAGAAAACAATGCAGACCAATTCAAACAAAAGTTGGCCATTCTGCTCTGTTTGTATCTGCTATAAGATAACATGATAGTGAGTATGCTGTGTTAGATGCATGAAGGAAGATAGTTACTTGGTCAGCTGCTCATTCTGATATTGCAGCATTTGCAATCTCAGTCTTATTCTTCTAGTAGGATATACTCAATTATTATTGTACTGTAAAATGCAAAATACCGTAATATTAATTTTGGGTTTTCCCTTTGCATTGAAGGCACTAAGAAAGGTTCAGCTGTTTTTCAATTTATTGTTGATGTTTTAAAAGTTAAAGTTAAAAGTTATAGAGGTAAATTTTTTTCTTGTAGGTGAAGCAGGCGACCAATCAAATAGTGATGAATTGTGCTGACATTGATATTATTACAGCTTCATATGCACCAGAAGGAGATGAAGGTAGGATGGGATATAAATGCAGTTTCTGCATTTTTAATCATCAAACATAATATTATTCTGATAATACTTTTAATTTGTAGTAAGTGTTTTCAGCTTTGTTTGACATTAGACAGCCTCTTGACTACATTTTGAATGATAATTACATTTTGCTACATTGTAGATATTAAAAATAAGAATATAAAAATCTATTAATAAGGAGAAAATACGTTCTTCCATTTTAAGGGATAAGAAGGAATTTACCATTTTTATCCTGTAATTTGTCAATCCTTCAATCACTCAAACTTTATTATACCTGGCCTTGAGCTGTTTGTAACCGGGTTGCAAAATTGGTGGGTGAGCACGTGCACGCATCCCCACTTGCATTACCAGTGGGCATGGGTACCTGCTGCTCGTGCAAATGGAGCTGCACATGCGCACTTGCCCGCTACTTGTGTAGAGCCATTCCCTCTCCCCCCCGCCAGTCTGCAAAGCCAAAAAGATTGAGGTACTCTGTTGTAGGTCATAAACCCAGATTGCATAAAAAATATATTATATATTACAAAATACAAGGTATCATTTATGGTAAATAAAGGGTATATAATAGGTGTTTGTCTATTTCCTATCAGCAACATATAAATTCTACTGGCTACTCATATACACTTTGCAACAACAAAGTTATCTTGGGATCTTTACCCATTAAAAAACCTGTACATAGAATCCTTTTGAGTACTCATTTTGAGTAACCCAGTGAATATGACAATAAAGCAGGACGTGATTCAGTGTTCCTTTCTTTACAAGCACAAAACCTTTCAGCATATGGGATTTGCTGAATTTATCCTCAGCCATTGCTGATGGTAAAATATGTAAAGCCTTTTGAAATGTATTGTTTGTAAATTGGATATAATACTTATTTAAAATAAAATTTGCTATGCCCCAGTTGAGCCCTATGTGAGCCCCAGTTGAGCCCTGTGTGAATTTTGCTATATTCAGTTTGTAATTTTATATCAAGAATCGTTGATATAAGATCTAACATTGCCTGATGCATCAGTATCTCACTTCAGAATCCCAGTTTTTGTAAATAGTCATTTATTTGGAGTTTCCAAAAGGAATGACAAAAACATCAATAATTAATTTTACTATTTAAGAATTAGGGTAATAAGAATTGATAACCAAATTAACCAAAGTCGTATATTAGTTGAGCAGCAGTATAAATTTATTAAATAAACAAGCGCTATACTTCATAGAGATCACTTTGTTCATTGATTTGGTTTTTTGAAGTTTGGAGGTCCTTTGTTATCTAGTTAGAGACCTTTTAGTAGTATTGTTTTTTCCCCTTATTTCTGTCATTTTTAAATTTCTGATTCTCTAAATTTCCTTCTCTTCACTGGTTTCTTATCATAGTCTAGTTTTCCTTTTCAAAAGGTTGATATTGGAATTAGACCAATATTAAAATGCCATTGCAATATTATTACACTTTTGTAAGAAGGTGGAAGGGTTGAGACCATCACATACGGTACAAAAGTATTGGCAGTTGTACAAAAGTGCTGTAAATTAAGAATGCTTTCAGAAATAGAAGTGTTAATAATTTATTTTAATCAATTAACAAAATGGAAAGTAAATGAACAGAAGAGAAATCCAAATCAAATCAATATTTTGTACAACTACCCTTTGCTTTCAAAACAGCATCAAGTCTTACACTTGCATAAAGTCAAGTGTGTAGGATTAGAGTCAGGTGTATGATTAATCAATTATACCAAGCAGATGTATGATCATCAATGTCATAGATAGGTAGAAACTCAGTCATAGAAACAGCTATGTAGGAGTCTTAAAACTGGATGAGGAACAGCTAAACTCTGCTACTAAGGTGAGGTTGTGGAAGACAGTTTCATGTCATAGAATGGTCATACACCATGGCAAAACTGAGCATGGAAACAAGACAAAAAGTAGTTACATTGTGTCAGTGACATCTGTCCCAGGCAAAGAAGCGACTTAGCTATGTACAAAAAGATAGGACTTGTGGTACAGAAAAATAGTAGCAGGTGCTCTGGACTGATGAGTTAAAATTTGAAATATTTGACTGTAATCGGAGACAGTTTGGTCGCCAAAGGCCTTGAGAGTGGGACAATCATGAATTCTGCAGGCAACAGTGAAACATGGTGGAGGTTCCTTGCAGGTTAGAGGCTGCATTTCTGGAGATCTGGATCAATGGTCTTCTCAGTGCTGAGAAGGCAAATACTTATCTGTGCAATTGGCTCCAAATTTATTCTGCAGCAGGACAAATGGCCACAAACATACAGCCAATATCATTCAGAACTATCTTCAGCATAATGAACAAGAGGTCCTGGAAGTGATGATTTGGCTCCCACAGAGCCCTGATCTCAACATCATCGAGTCTGTTTGGGATTACATGAACAGCCAGAAGGATTTGAGGCAGTGTGTGGCAGATCTATGGTTAGTTCTCCAAGATGCATGGAACAACTTTGAAGGAACCTTGCTGAGTTCTTTTAAAAACTGTGCAGGTGTACCTAGAAGAATTGATGCTGTTTAAAGGCCAAGGGTAGTCACAGCAAATATTAAATTAATTTGGATTTTTCATCTGTTCATTTACTTTCCATTTGTTAATTGATAAAAATAAAATACTTTTATTTCTGGAAGCATTCTTAATTTACAGCATTTTTTGTACAACTGCCAAAACTTCTGCACAGTCCCGTACATCTTGATGCTATAGGAGGAATGCTATTATTCATGGTCATAAGAACATGAGAACAGACCTACTGAATCATATCAGAACCCATCAACAAAGTACTTAGTCTAGTAACTTTGTTTTTCACCTTGGCCAGCCTGTTGCTTTTTGCACACTCTCCTGTTGGGTTCACTTGCCACTGGCATTCGGAGAATTGCTGCTTCCAATTTGGAGGTAACATGGCATCTTCATGAGCCAATGTCCTTAATACATCCATTAATTATTTTTTTCCTTTTAAAGGCACCCAAGTTATTAGCCATCCACATGTCTTGTAATAAATTCTACTATTAATGTATGATGGTGGACTTTCTTACATCTGTTATTAATTTCCTTTCAGTCAGCTTCATTAGATGGTCTTAGACCTTGTCTTTTGAGAGAATACTTCTTTGGTTCCATGCATATGAAATGTATTAAAAAACATCATTGTTATCTCTCAGGAATGAATAATATATGGATTGTTTTCTTTACAAAAGTAAAAAACAACAACAATTCTATCTCAAAGTGACTGTATTGTCCTTATTCTTGGGATAACCAGATTGAGCATAGGAGCACAGTGACATTTATAAGAATGCCATGGCTTTTGTTCTTTCTGTTCTTTCCTGCTTTGCTTTTCATGCAGTAAGGGTTAAAAGAGAAAAAATTGTTCTGATATTCAGGTGAAGACTATTACAAAATTAGGCTGAATCATTTTGTTGTCAATGTATGTCTGTATGTATTCCCAACTATAATGAAGCCACCACAAAAATATGAATTTCCCATTGGCTCTTCCATTGGCTACATGCAGTTTAAGACTCACTGCAAAGACATTTTAAAGATTCTCCTAGTTGCCATGTTTATATTTTTAGTCACTGAAATATTTGAGGCAGAATTTCAATCCCTCTCTTCAGTTTGCTACATGCACTAACAAACTTTCTTATTTCAGCTATTTGCTTTCCTTTTGAATCTAAATATTAAAATAAGTTTTTGTCTAGTGTTAATTGAAATAACCTGTTTTAAACCTATCCTTTCCTTTACAATTCTAAATAACCACCTGTTGTCACATCTCAATGTTCCTTAAATAATTCTTTGGCTGCTCCTTTCATTTCCTATGAAATAGTACAATTTCTGAAATGTAGTTTTACGGTAATAATTCAAATTATTTAATTTAATATGATGCAAAAGATGTCATAGTATGGGGATTTTCAAAATTAACATTTAGTTATTGCAACCTTTTTTATTAAGTTGCAGCTAGCAGTAAGGCTATTTATCTGCATATGTGTATATTTTTAGAAGTTATATTTACTCTGAAACTCTTGTAAGAGAATGAATAGGCCAGCATATTTATCAGTTATCAACATCCTCTTATTTCATAGTAATTTGTCAGGGAAGAAGTTTAATTAATTTTTGCCCGATTGGTTATTTTAAGCTAAAGAACCCATTATCTATTATGTCATCTTTCTTTCCACATATTAGTGTAGACTTGTGCCATTTTCCCTCCCCTCCTGACTCTCAACAGACACCAGTGAAGCTTCCTTTTTCTCCTCCTCTGCTGACTCACAGAACTGCCTGCGATTTTTTTGGAGGAGGGATGACAAAGGGAATGGATCATGAAGAAAATTGAACCCCCATTCCCTATCCCAGCATAAATCAAGGGCCCCATCTATCCATGGAGGAAAAGGGCTTACCCATTGACCACTGATGCCTCCAACCAGCCCTACCTTGCCAGGAGGCATTCAAATCACTCCCTTGTCTTTTCCTCACCACTCACCGCCATTAAGAGATTTGAAATTTTAGCCTCAGTTCCAATTGCTGTTTGCTTGCTAGTCCTTGCCTCCAGCTGATTGTGTGCAGGGGCCAGAAGGAGGCAGAAAAGTGGGCAGGGATATATATACCCTAACCATAACCCTACTTTCATTACACAACTGATAGAGTTCTGGAAAGTATAATTGGAAATCATGGCCACAGCTTTGTGAATACAATAGCTGTAAAGATTCAGGACTAATGGATCCTGGATCTTGGACATATTCTTTAAGTTGGCCAACTTGAGGTATTTTGATTAAAAAAATTGTTGCCCTATGATGCGCCATTGTGCCTATCGGAAGGTGACAAATAGGAGAGTTTTAGTATATAGATACATGTTATGAGGTCTTTGGAAAGAATAGAAAGGAAACTAATTGACTTGGAAATATCATTAATTAATTATGTGCCATCAACTCATTTTTACTTTTAAAGACTGTGTGTATAGATTTTCTTCATGATTTCTCATGAAAATGTCAAGAAAGCGTTAAACATGGAAAGCTATCTTATTTTAAACAAAGAATTTGTTCATTTTCTTCAATACTATATTGTTTGTACCTACATGGCATCACTTTTCTGGAACCTCCTATGAATTGGAGTTGTTTTTTAGGGTTTCATTGCCCTATTTTGTTGGTTATAGTGGTTTTTAATTTTACATTGCTTTGTTGTTGAGCCTTGTTGAATTGAGTTGTTTGAGTCGTTTGAGCCTTGTTGAATTGAGTGGCATATAAATGGTAGATAATAATTAAGAGACTGCGAGGGTTAGATGAGGAACAATAGGTTTCAACTGAGCCCTGTGCACAATCTGGGGATTTTCCTGAACTCATGACTCTTGCTTGAGGAGCAAATGACAGTTGTGGCTAGGAGGACCTTTGCACAACTTTGTATTGTATGCCAGTTGCACCCATTTTTGGGTAAAGAAGTCCTACTCATAGTTAGTCATGCTCTGCTTACCTTCTGATTAGATTATTGCAGCGTACTATATACAGGGTTGGCCTTGAAGAGTATTTGGAAACTTCAGCTGGTGCAAAATGAAGTGAGGCAAGTAGTTTTGTGTATTTTTGGTAGACAACATATTACACTTTTGCTGTATGGTACTGGGTTATTTGAAGGATCCCCATCCCATACGATCTCACAGAATAAGTATGCTATGGATTCCATCGTCTTGAGACCACATTTGATGGGCCCTAGGCAAGAGGACCTTTTCTGCTGTGGTGCCCATTTTATGGCATCTTCTCCCTACAGATGGAGACTGCAGGCCTGAGGATCCTGGGGGAAGTAAACTCATGAAATGGCTTATTGCTTATCATTCCTCCCTCTATTATTCTCTTTTCCTGTTTTAGCTTTTTATAATTTTTAATTGTTTTAATAATTATTATGTAATGGTCTTAACTAGTGATTGTGTTATTTATTTATTTTTATTTATTAAATTTAAATGCTGCCTATCTCACTATTGAGAATAACTCTGAGCAGATTTATTTACTGATTTTACTGGATTTTTGCATGCTTCCCAGCATCTCTTTCCATGAGATGGATGGCCATATACATTTGACAGACAGAGATATAGACCATCCAGTCAGGAAACCAAAACCATGAATGCCAACACTATCTTTATTGTAAGGTTACAGTAATAGAATCATGCAAGTATGAAAACACTTCTCCATTCTCTTGTCTTCCAAAAAAAGTTCCCTTCCAAGAGATTTTCTTTACCTCCTTCTATGGGTTGATATAGCTCTTGTCTGATCATTCCCTGGCTATGGTCCCTTTTCCCAAGGTTATTCTCAGAGCTCGTTATACCCTGGAAATTTTGGCAGCATTACAAAATGAATTGATATTTCTGGAGTTTAATTTTCCTCTTTAAAATTAAACTTTTTATTTAGATGTTGGATTTTCATTGTCTGTAGAATTATGACCACACGAATATTTATTCTGGAGAATTTTGTTTTTTTCTTGATGCATTTTTGTATTTTACTTTTAATTGTTCCTCCTGCATTATGGCAGCTAAAGTAACTGAGGTGAAAAGCCAAGTGACTTGTTGCTATTTAATAAGAGAGAAGTTGAAAACTGCTTATAATTTGTGGCTTCAACTTTAGTAAATAGATTTGCTAATTCAGATATCAAGGTTCTGACTGATGAACCCAACCAAGCAAACACATTCAAGACTTTCCAATCTCTTAATGCAAAGCTTTATGAGTACATCATTTTGGCACATATGAAAATGAAACCAGCTCTGGCAGGACTCCTCCCAAATCCATATAGTAAAAGCATTGACTTTTCCCTTCTCATTCTGGGTCAGGTCACATTGCCCAATCAAATTGGAAAGTATTGTTATGATACAGCATTTCTGGGTCTAGCCTAAGGGTAGGCAACCTTGGCTCTTTTATGACTCGTGGACTTCATGGCTGGCTCAGTAATTCTGGGAGTTGAAGTCCATGAGTCATAAAAGAGCCAAGGTTGCCTACCCCTGGGCTAGCCAGACACCTGCCCACTGTCCATGGTTCCTACGGTCTGCTTTTTTAATCTTGGAAGTCTGCATTCCAAACCTCTCCCCTCCCCCCCAAGTTCGTTGGCAAGCTGAGAAACAATGTCTGTCGCACCAGCAAGAATGGGCTTCGAAATGTGACATCAGATTTATCCTGGCTTTGCTTCCTCACTAGATCTTGGTTACTTCAGCAGTTTCAGTTGGGGAAGAGCATCATAAAGTACCACCAGGATTCTCTGAAATTTGATTTAACATTACAAGCAACTATGACCAATAAAGCTGATTTCATATACTATGATACTAACTAAACTTTGCTTAATTGTGTTTTATTGCATAAAAACAATTGGAATATATCAAGAGTATTCCAAAATCAGATAAATTACCTTGAAACTTAGTGAACTGTAGAAATCAGATGTAATAAAACTACTTTATTATATGCTTTTGAAAATGAAACATTGTAGCTTGTCTAGAAGGACAAGGTATAAACAAATAAAATTACCGTAACTGGATCCAGTCCAGTAATCAAGTTTTAGTCCCTAGAAGATCCTGAGTTTGAAGTAAATCAGATTGACATTAATTTCAATTAAAAATAAATTATAAATGATTTCTTATGTATGTACTATTGCATAATACTTTAATCTAGACCTGGTGTGTTTCAGTATCCATATCAAAGAAAGTGCTTATGATTGTTTAGAGCAATCTTTCTTCTTTTTCAGAAATCCATGCCACAGGGTTCAACTATCAGAATGAAGACGAGAAAGTGACTCTTTCTTTTCCCAGCACACTTCAGAAAGGTAAAATTGTGTAGAAGTTAAGTGGGTCCATCTGAGGTAAAAGAAATATACATTTTGTTGCCAGACCATAGTTTTTTTTCTCTCTCTTCCCTCGTTACTTAGAATATGTTTTGGGAGTTAATTCCATCTCTGCATTTCCAAGGTTATTTTATATTTGAAACAAAATTAAATCTAATTTTGTTCTGATTCTTAATATATCTGTTCTCATACAAATTATATTTCATGTTTGCTGAAATCTGGTTGCCAGGTTTCACCTAACACACTGAACTCTAAACTAAACACACAGTTGGCTTTGCATAAAACAGTAAGTTACAAGCTATCAAGCATTGTTCTACTCTGTTTAATGGTCCCCCCTAAACTGAGCAGATTGTTCATATATAATATCCACAATTTAAATCTTGATTTGATAGTCAATTATTATTATTTGCTAGCAAGTGTAAAATGCAGTATTTTTATAAACACGTATAATGTTATTATTAAATCAAATATTAATTTAGTCAATAATTCCTAAGGCTGACATTTGTCTATGGCATCTAAACAGACACTTTAGAATTTTTGAACTCAGAAGCACTCATAAGAATACTTAGCCCAAAATATTATGACACATCACCATGTGTATTATTTTTACCATGTTATGTTGTAGCATTTATTTTTAATAAACAAACTATGTCATCTTAGAAGAATGTCCTCACATGCTTAAAATATTGTTATTATTTTCATAGCTGAAATGGATTCTGTTTACACTGAAAAATAATTAGTAGTAACAATTGAAATTCAGTGTCTCTATCTACCTAAAATGTTATAGAAATTTTGACATTTCTATATTTCAGTACAGAATTTTCAAAAGTCTAATGTTAATTTACTGAATAGGTATTTATTTATTTATTTATTTATTTAATAAAGGCTAGAATGGTTAGCAAAAACAGTGCTTGTCCTTTGTTTACTATCTGTCATGTTTTAGAAATTCATTTGGAGAATGCAGTTTAAGAAAGAAACATATAACAAATAATAAAATAGTTTATACAAACTACTTCATAATAAATTTAATATGGAGTCTATTTCTTAGAAACTCCCAAATTTATAGGCAAAGGGTAAATGAGAAAATTAGGTGAAACCTTAATGGGAAAAAACAACAAATAATTAAAAGATAATCTGGTCTGTCAGCTCATTTGTTTGCACACATGGATCTATAATTGAAAGTGAAAGAGAGAGAGAGAGTGAAGACAATCTGTTCCTCTCTAGGAATTATTAGCCACTGTTGAATTAAGTTGAGACTTCATTCCAGCATCAGTCAAGATAAACAGCTAGGGAGAGAAGAGCAATTTGTAGTTCTTTGTCAGCATAGCTTTTCTTCCTGACAATACTAGTAAATTTCATTAGTACTTATAAAAAAAATGTAGTTTTCCATTATCTTGATGAAAAAGCATGAAAGCTATAGCAATAATCATAAGGCAACCCTGGTAGTTGATGGTTAAAAACAGAAAAATAATAAAAAGAAAAACTGAAGATATGGGCAACCACATTCCATATACCCCCCTCCAAAACAGAACGTTATAATTCTCCTAAATCAAAGTCTGGTGAGCAATCAAATTTTTAAGAATTCCGGAACATCACTGAAGTGGGAGTTACATGGATACCTGAGGTGATATCATTCCAGAAGGCAGGTATCATGGCAGAGAAGACATGCTGCTGGGGTTTTGATAGGTGGCATTCTGTCTGAACTTACTAGGTAGGCAAAAACCTTGAGAAATAAGTGGCTCCCCAAATAACCTGGCCTATGCCATGAAGAGTGTTACAACTGATAACCAATACCTTAAATTGTACTGGAACTTTACAGTAATCAGTGCAACTTGAGGAGCAGTGGTATCTCATAGATATGTACTACACTAAACAGCATTACATTCTGGACCAGCTTGAGCTTCTTAGTGGTCTTCAAGGGAGCCCCACATAGAGTGCTTTGCAGTAATCCAACCGTAAGGTGATTAGAACATGAGTGACTGTCAGGGGCCTCCCAACCCAGGAATGAGTGCAACTGGTGCACCAGATGAAGCTGCGCAAAGGCTTTCTTTGCCACAGCTATTATCTGTCCTTTAAGCAGCACTGTGAGTCCAAGACAATTGCCAAATTACGCACTCTAGAATGGGTAGTATAATCTCATCCAAGATCCAAAATTTCCAGATCTGGGGCATACAAAACTTAAAATATGCTTGGTCTTGGCAAGATTGAGTCTGAGTCTTTTCCATCCAGACCACATAGCCTCCCGATAGGACACTGAAAGCATCACTTAATTGACCTGGGGTAAATATTTTCAAATGGTTATCAACCTCATACTGATGATACTGGAAATCAAACTGATGGATCATCCGTCAGTCAGTCATTTTGTATTCCACCCAACTCACGTGAAGAAAATTCATGTAGATGTTAAACAGGACAAGATCATCCCTGAAACACACCATAAAATGAGAGTCTTGAAGATTTTTCCTCTCCCTACTGCTTTAACACCAACTGGAACTGGCCACTGATATAAGACCTGAGGAAAGATGCAGTCAGATCAGTATAAGGAACAGATTTAGAATATTTACTTTATGGGAAACTGAAATTGAAGATTTAGGGGAAAAGAATAAAAGATATCATGAAAGCAATGACAAGAAATATTTCCAAGATTTCAAAGAAATAAAGTTCCAAGTGGTTTTCAGAAATAAAAATTCTGATAGCTTGGGAAAAATAAAAAGAAAAGCCTTGGGTAACAAGAAAGTTTTATGATAATTGAAGGCAAACTTTCAACAAAGACAAGGTGACAAAAATGACAAGGAAAAATACATCAATTATATCAACAACTGGATTGTGAAAGAAAAGGAAGTAAAACAGGAAAAATTTACAAAATATGAACAGTCAAAAATAATTGTAATAATTTGGTAAATAACAAAGATAAAAAGATATAGTGAAACATTTTGCAAATGGTTCAATCCTTCTGTAACCCCTTTTAAAAGAGAAAATATTCAGGGACCAACTTCTTAGAATCTGAAGTGTGACAAGCAATAGATCAATTGTAAAATAGGAAATATTGTGTATGCTAAAATTTGCAGAATTTTAAATAGTTGCAGAAGAAGAGGCAATTAAAGTGGTAACAGCTCTGTGTCAATAATTATGCAAAAAGACCGGTCTAAAGATTGGTGAAAGTATTCTTATATGAGAAAAAAGGCAGAAATTAAAAGGGTACATAAATTACGGTAGTAAACCTACATTAATTCATATAAGCAAAGTTTTGATTAAGATCTTAAAAGGAACAACAGTTATACGTGAAGAATCAAGTTAAATTAACTGACAGGACATAAGAATAGATAAGTAATGTAAAATGGATAATGGAGAACACGAAAATACAAGAAGGTTTATCTTTGCTTCATCAACTATAGCAAGATGTGGGGAAAATCAGTCTTTAAATTAATGATATGGATTACATCAAGCTGATTTATAGAGATGTAAACAATTTGGCTTTTTAAGTACAGTACAGCGTGTTATCTTAAAACAATTCCTATAGCTTTGTCCTCAAAGTGTCAGCGGGAAGTGTTTTTGGCATCAGGCATTTCCAATTTTTCTGCTGTTGATTTATGGGAGATGCTTATTTTCCTTTTGGTTTATTGCTTATTACTCTGTTTTCTTGAAGATACAGATAACTTACAAGGTGCTTAGCAACCATTCAAAATTATAGTAGACATATCTTGGGGCTTTGGGTGCCTAGCAACAGGGCAGTGTGCTGTGATCACTTGACCACATTTAATGGCACTTCTGTCAAAAACTGGCACTTCTGATTTTCGGCAAAAACATACCCACAGCTAAAAACAGAAAATGGATTTTTAGAAACTTTCCACAAGAGATTCCTGCATGGCCAAATGGAAATCTTTGAGGAACCAGCCCCAATGTTAAATTAATCTCATGCAGTATTAGTGGAGTAGCGTTTTGATGTTTTTCTTATACCTGAAGTAGCTTACATCTTCACTAAAGATATAAAATTCTACTATTTTTTTTCCGTCATGAGCTTATACTTTCTAATCTGCTAAAGAAGAGGTTCATAATAGACCTAGCACATCTATATACTCTGTCTTCTGATTTCCTGGCTGTTTCCATCCCGAAACCATTTTTCTTGTTTTGTTATGTAAATATCAGAACTCTTTTAGCATACATCTTTACCTGATTCACCTTCTCTCAAGGAAGATAACTTTTATAGTGCTCAGTGAACTGGAAAACTCAATGCTTTATGAGGAAACCCTTCTGTACTTTTAATTGGAGCAAAGTACTCATCTATTTAATTTCTTCCAAAGTCATTCGTGACCATTCTCTTGAATCTCAATACCACCTCCCCCCCCCCCAACCTCTCAACATTACTGAAAATATTGTTTCATTCTTTGGATGTTTATTTTGTTCTCACTTCTTAAGTGGGAATGGACAGCACCATTTGTGCTGCTACTGCTTTACCTGTTTTTGATCTGATTCATTCCCATATTGGAGTTATATTGCAGTTATGCTGGGCAATTACATAAGGTCAGCCCTGTACCTTCATTCAACACTATAGACTAGACATTTGTTTCCAGAAAGATGCTGTTCTCTCTTCACTCACCTTATGATGACCAGATTCTTCCTCAAGTAAGAAGCTTTAACAAACTGTCAATATGAATTATCAAGACCACAAAGAAAAAGAACTGCTTATTATCTATGAATTTACATAACCCATCTTCTCTGCATGGTCTCATTTTTTCTTTTGTTAATGTAGTGTTGATCTTAAGAACTAATTACTGAGAGCTGTGTCTAGTCATATGGTACACCTGGTGAGCAGGATTCTCTGTAAACTATATTGTGAGCTCTGAAAGACTCCAATCAGGTCTCTGTACAAGCATGTAACTTATGTGTGTGAATTGAATAGTTAAGTAGTTAAAAAGTGTAATTAAAATAACTAGCTTATTTTCATGGATCTTCCAAATCTCCTATCATTTACTCATTTATTGTTCCTTTATTATCATTTTATTACACCTTTTATCAGTCCTCTATTATTCGAGCTAATCTTCAGAGTCCCAGAGTCTGCATACTTTGGGAATCTGTTGTATTTTTACTTTACCTGTGCTTAAATATACTGGGTTTAGCATTTTCTTTTTCAGTAAGGATAATAATGTGTATGTGTGCTTTTTTTAAATAACACAGGGATGGGAACATTAAAGATAGATTTTGTTGGAGAATTGAATGACAAAATGAAAGGATTCTATCGAAGTAAATACATCACCCCTTCCGGAGATACTCGGTTTGCTGCTGTTACCCAATTTGAGGTATGAAATCCTTTGATTTATAGTTTACATGTCCAGTTAATATTAATTGGATGTATCAAGTTGGTATTATTTTTATTCTCGTCAGTTTCTGTATTTCTGCTTGTGCCTCTTTTTTACCAATAATTTTCCAAAAGTGTGTGTGTGTGTGTGTGTGTGTGTCCTTTTAAATATTGAATATGACAGTTCTTGGATCTGTCAGAATGCCTCAAATATTTTGACTTCTTAATACTGCTTTTTTCTTTCCTGCAGGCCACTGATGCTCGCAGGGCCTTTCCTTGTTGGGATGAGCCAGCTATCAAGGCAACTTTTGATATTTCATTGGTGGTTCCTAAAGACAGAGTAGCTCTGTCAAATATGGTAATTAATTTAACTTAAAGTCATATTACAAAGTGGTTTGATTAAACAGAAAAAAGTTACTACAAGACATGGCCTAGGTTTAGATTGCATGGAACTTTCCATGCAATAAAGTTAAAATTAATGTAGTTTTTTTTTTAAAAAATCACTATTTTAGAAGTGCTATATTGAGAATATGGAATAGATATTAACTCAGATTGTTCCCCCAATGACTTTATAGGTTTCAGTAGGCAAAGACAGATAGTTAACATATAGATAGGTGTTTCAATAAGAGCACGGAGGATATAAGATGAAATAAAGCGATCAATTGTATACAGAGCGATATAGTTTTCAATAGTTTTCATATGCAGTTAAGAAAATAATCTGTGGTAGATAACTGGACATTTGGAATTGAATAGCACAAGACATGATTTGAAATTGAACTGTGTACAAATGATGAACATGTAATTGCTAAAATTTATAAATCTTTGCTGAAATTTGAAATAGAAGAAGAACAAATGAAAGAGTTATGATAAAATGGGATAAGAATTTTGGACATAATATATTGATAAAATAATGGGAAAATATGTGGCTGAAAGCATTAAAATTTACATTATGCCACAATTTAAAAGAGAACTTTTATAAAATGATGTACTGTTGCCCTAAAACTACAGAACAATTATTTAGAATGTATAATGATTGACTTGTTTGATTTATAGAAAGGACTAACTATGTTTATTAGTGATTGGAAACCCCTTAAGAACTTTTTGCTGAAAAAAATGAACTTGTGTTTTATGGGTTTGGGATCAAAGTTGGGATAAGTTGTTGAGTGAAGCTGTTATTAAGTGAGATACCCGTATGATTTCCAGGATGTTAAGTACACACAGCGAACTGCCTGCTAAGTTCAGTTCTCCTTGGTATATGGGAGGAAACTGTTGTAGTGCACAACAGGAATGGAACTAGGATCTTCAGGATCTGAGCTTCATTAACCTACCCAACCTTCTGTACATGGAAGAGAACTTCTCTACACACATAATGCAGATGAATTCTGACAAGGTTAAGAAATGAAGCAGATATCTTAAAGATCCCAACTCTGTTCCTGAAACCCACCAAAGGAGTTCCCCCTCCCCACTATGTACAGAGGGGAACTTCTTCAAAGGGCTGCAGAAACAGAGCTCAGATCTTCAGGATCTGAGATCTGTTTCTGCAGCCTTCTGGGGCAGTTCCTCAGCAAGCACTCCTTTTACTCTTGAGGCATGTGAAGCTTGAGATTCCTCTTGGCTGGTAGCCCTTTCACCCTCAAAATTGCCTGCTAGCAGGAAATCTCAGCTTTCTGTCAGACAGCAGTAGCTTGCAAACTTGCATTTACCAGTAATTTTCTGGGAAAGCCAGCAGAGAAGTTTGAAAATGACGGTCACATGGTTGTGGGGCATTTAGCAACTGGTCATAAGTGTGAACAGGTTGCCATACACACAGAACACAATAATTGACTGTGACCATGTGGGGGGAAGTACGCAGTGTTTTATAATAGTGAGAAATACTTTACAGGCTTAAAAGCACAATTTCTGAGACCATCATAGCTTTGATCAGTAGTTACTGTTGATCAAAATACTTGTATGTTACTGGTGGTCCTGTATATTAACTATCTGTATATTACAGGTAGTCCTCAACTTTGACCATTCAAAGTTACAGCGGCAGTGAAAAAAGTGACTTGCAACTGGTTCTCGCATTTACAACCAATGCAGCATCCCCACGGTTGCATGAACAAAATTTGGGTACTTGGCAACCATCATGTATTTGCAATGTCCTGAGGTCATGTAATCACCATTTGCAACCTTCCTAGCCAGCTTCTGGCAAGGAGAATCATTGGGGGAAGCTGGATTCGCTTAATGACCAAGTGATTCACTTAACCATTGTGATTCACTTAACAACTGTAACAAGTGTTACATTTTAAAATTGGGAAGGACTCATTTAACAACTTTCTCGCTTAACAACAGAAATTCTGGTCTCAGTTATAGTCATAATTTGAGGTTTACCTGTATGAAAAGAAAAGAGAATATGTTGCAACATTAGAGAAGTTAAAATATGAATCTGTAACTACTGTTAAGAAGATTGAAAGTCATTTCTTTATAACTTTTTTCTTTCCTTGCACATTATTCATTTACTGATTACGTTTCTTTACTTTCCTTATTTTTTCTTTTAGAATTTGTATAAAAAATCTTTAATAATACATATCTGATAATAAAGTAAAAAATACTGTAAGTTAAAAAAAACAGTGGTACTGTATCCTAGAATGAAATTGGAATTGAAGCGTGTATCAGATGAATACAAATGAGAGAGTTGAGATCATAATATTGTAATTTGGCACTGAGAAATAAACCGTAATGTACCACTTCCACTTTATAAAATTTAGTGTTGCTTCATATTTAATATATTTAGCCTCTTCATAATTTTTTGGACAGAATATCACTGATCGGAGGCCCTATCCTGATGATGAAAATCTGGTAGAAGTGAAATTTGCTTGTACTCCTGTGATGTCAACATATCTTGTTGCTTTTGTGGTCGGAGAATATGACTTTGTTGAGACCAGGACCACTGATGGTGTATTAATCCGTGTTTACACTCCTGTTGGCAAAGCAGAACAAGGGAAGTTTGCATTAGAGGTAAGAAAGGCTTAAAAATTTGTATATCTTGCTCTATGATAGTTCCTGGAAAACAAAACCAAAGTGTTAAAAAACTTTAATTTCATTTAACTTGCAACTTCAAGTGCATGCTTATATATAAAATATAGGGAATTTTAGCCATCTCAGACATTATTATATACTAGGATATATATATAGATAACATATGTAGTTGTTTGGTCCATGGAGAATTGCTACTTTTGGTCTTGTGTGGAGTGGCACTGCCCCAAACAAACTGAGTATGTAATCTGAGGATTCTCCTGGACTCATGCTTGAGGAGAAAGTGGCAGTTGTAGCCAGGAAGGTGTTTGCGCAACTATGGGTTGTGAGACATTTATGGCCTTTCCTGGACCTACAATCCCTATTCAAGGTCACTCATGCTCTAGTCACCTCCTGTCTTGACTATTTCAACATGCTCTACTTGGGGCTGCCCTTGAAAAGCACCTGAAAGCTCCAGTTGTTCAGAATGCAGCAGCCTGCATGGTTTTGTGCAGACCTTGGTGTGCACAAGTGTCACTTCTGCAGGAACTGCATTGATTGACCATTTGCTTCCATGTGCAATTCAAGGTGCTGGTTCTCACCTTTAAAGCCTTTCATGTCTTGGGACTGGGTTATCTGAAAGACTGTCTCTTGCTGGTCACAACCATTCAACCATTAGAATGGTGAGGCAAGAAATATTCCGTCCCTAAGGAGGTACATCTGGCAGGACCCAAACTCTTTCTTAAGGCCCTGAAGACTTGGTCTTGCCAGTGGGTGGGTGGAACCCATCAAACAGCTCATTTGACTATGTGTTGTTGGTGAGTGGGGGGGTTATTGTTTTTTTTTATTTTCTATGCTGTGTTTTTATTGCTTGTAAGCTGCCTGGAGTCACTGTGAGTGATTAGGCGGCTATATACATTTTCTAATTGAATAAAAATGAATGAATGAATATAGAAATTCTCCAGCACTGGAGATGGAGGATCCACCCGTGGGTTGAGACTGTATTCCTGCCCAATCAGATCAAGTCAGCCAAAGTTGTCACGCCCTGTCCCTGGACCTGTGCCCAGTCTTGACTTGATCTTGCCCATGGACAGGACGTACAACTCTGGCTCTTAGGTACAGTCTAGACTTGGGTGAATTCTCCATTTCCTTCCTATTACGTTTTAACAATTTGGATCCCCTTGTCTAAATTTAATTAGCCAAATTTAACTCAAATCCCAGCTACCTTAGTGTCAGCTCTGTAGTGGGGGGAGCAAGGAAGAACAGAAGGGGGCCCCTTCTATTTTCCCTCCCCCCAAGAGCTCTTCCAGACAATAATTACTTTTGGATCTAACGGCTGTTAGATCCCTGGAACCCTCCGGAGCTCACGGCTGCGGGCCCGGGGGCCGATAGGACATCGTAGGCATTACTCGTCCCAACGGCCTAGGCCGCCAATTTACAGCTTTTCCGGCAGTCTGTATGACGCGCGCCGCCCCAAACGACACCGATCGGCGCGCCCGGAGCCGATCGCTGGCCTTAATTAAATAGCGGCGGTGTGGTTTTTGGGCTCTTGGGACCTTCAGCACTCGAAGGGAACAGCTTTGTCTCGGCCTCAGGGCGATCGTAATTTCGCGCGCGCGGCCGCCATTTTGGGGACCGCGCGATCGCAAAAGTCCCGTTTTTTCCTTTTTCAGCTTGCCTTCTGGTCTTTTTTCCGG